GTGCATAGCGAGAGCTTCGGCGATTTCTTTTAGAGTCCTTCGTCCGTCGGCGATGAACTATGGGAATAGTCTTAGCGTTGAGTAGATCGCAGCGTCGACGCACATTCCGAGCGGCGAACATTTTCACTGTGCACTCCTTCAGCTGCACGGCGATCTGATTCGACCGCGGTAGGTCCCAGAAAGAATCGCCCAGCTGAACACCACGCAATTTCACGTAACACAGAACTTCTAAAACACCACGTCGCCCTTGCTGCGCCAGTCGAGGCAACCGCCATCTTGAAACTGGCGTTCTCGTTGGGTCCGAGATCTCTCGAGAGCGTCCCGCAAGGCCCGCTAGCCAGCAACGCAAAATCCCCAGCGTTGCGTGCGTACGCAATACGCTAGCCCTTCTATTGCGTTCTGCGCATGCGCACTCACGACCCGCAATTTCCTTGCGTACGCAAAGCTATAGCGTACGGTCCACTAAAACTGTCTAGTAACTCACCTTAAATAAGAGGCCGCCCGCGACCTTGTCGAGTCAGTTTTCGCCCCAGCGTTTGACTCTGCTACTACGCCGACTTCGACGCCCGCGACGCTCTGTTATTATCTTTTGTACCCTTTTATTTTTGGCACAAGTTCGCCACATTAAATGTTTATTTATTCCTGCTTATTTCTTGTTTATTGGTCACCACCCGTGATATTTTGGTGGAGGTGCGGGGTAACCGCATGCCCGTGCAGCGCTCCCCTCCGAGTTCCCGCAGTGCAAGTCCGAACCCAAACTCCCGAGGACCGAGCGAAGACCAGATCGAGACCCGATCCAGTCGCCGGACCCAAGGTCTACCCCCGGAACACGGACTTCTGCCACCCCGGACCAGGCAGCCAACGAGGCCGACGATGGACAACTAGTCGTCGCAGAACCCGTCCGCCGCCGCCGTCGTATTCCTTCCCGTCGCACCCCGGACATTCCACGGGGAGGTCCACGAGGACGTTAAAGATTGGCTGCAACATTACGAACGAGTTGCTCTCCATAACGCATAGACTCCGGAGCCAGTGCCTTCAGAACGTCTACTTCGCTCTGGAAGGCACGGCACGCACCTGGTTCGAGAACCACGAAGCGTCGATTTCGTCCTGGCAAGACTTCCAGGCGGAGCTTCGACGCACTTTTGCAAGCCAGCAGCGACATCAGCGGGCCGAAGAACTTCTTCAAGCAAGAAGCCAATGGCCAAACGAGACCGTCACAAGTTTCGTCGAGGACGTTCTCCGCCTCATGAACCGCGCCGACCCAAACGCTCCTAAAGAAAAAAAGCTGCGGTTCCTGATGCGAGGAGTGAAAGAGACTATCTTCGGAGGCCTTGTGCGGAACCCGCCTATCACCGTCCGAGACTTCATCACCGAGGCAACTAACATCGAACGTGCCATTCAAGCACGCGCCTCCCACTATCAGAGACTTCCTGGCTTCGCTGCCCCCTCGCCGTACAGCAGCAACACCCCGGGAGGAAATCAAGAAGCTCCTGCCTGCTACCCACCAGCCTGCTTCGGTGTCAATAGCCGAAGTTGTCCGCGAGGAGGTCCAGCGTGCATTCCAACCTGAGGCTCTTGCCAGCGTACCAGCACCCGAGGAGCCCTCTTTGACCTACGCCGCGGTAGCTCGGAGACCGGCGCCAGCTGCCCAGCAGTATTCGACGCCACCTCGACGTGTACTACAAGAGCCACAAACCTTCCGACGTGTGGAAGGGCAACCCCAATTCTTCCGCACTGAACAACCGGCGCCAAGGAAGACGGATGTATGGCGTACGGCCGATCGACGACCGCTGTGTTATCACTGCGGCGTGTACCGCCGATGCCCATACCGACGACACGGGCTGCACGGATTCCACCCAAACGACCCGCGCCCCCGGTATGGTGAACGCCATCGGGAGATCGACGAGTACCTGCGACGACCTCAGTCCCCCGAGCCTGCGTCCCGCCGAGAGTTCCGATCGCCTTCGCCACGACGTCCAGCTTCGCCGATGCACCGACCACGACGTGAAAGCCTGTCGCCCCTCTCTCCTCGCCGGGGAAACTAGGCGCGGCAACCCCTGGAGGTGGAGTTGCCGAAGACGACCGACGTAAAGAGGCTCCAAGAACGACGGAGCGCTTCCACTCTCCCGACGCTACGCATCACAACGACGCTCCTGCTTAGGTGTCCAACAACTTAAACGTTGTCATCGACGGCCTCGACTCATCGGCACTCGTGGACACCGGAGCAGACTATTCAGTCTTGAGTGGGAGGCTCTCCCGCCGCCTTCGAAAAGTCATGACGCCTTGGGATGGACCACAAATAAGAACCGCCGAAGGACACCTGATTACACCAGTCGGGAGATGCACCGCTCGCGTCGAGATTCACGGCGAAACATGCCCTGTGAAGTTCGTCGTTCTGCAAGACTGCTCGAGGGACGTCATTCTCGGAATGGACTTCCAGTGTGAATACGGCGCCATCATCGACCTTGCGGAGAACAAGCTGACGCTTCGGAAGCCTGTCCCATCGGTGGAAAATCCCAAACCGACGTTAGCTGCACTGCGAGTTCTTGCCAGCCACGTAAACCTGCCGCCGCTGTCGAGTGTCTTTGTGCCCGTCGGGACCGAAGGAGCCATCTGCGGTGTAGCACTGCTTGAAGGAAGCGTCCAACTTCTCCTCGGACGAGGGGTTGGCATTGCAAGAGGCGTAACCGAGCTCCAGGACGGGCGCACCGTAGCCCTTGTCACCAACTTCCGGCAAGAGTCGCAGCACCTTACAAAGGGTACAGCTGTGGGCTACGTCGAGGAAATTCAAGACTCAGCCGCGATCGCCGTGATCTCAGAAGACGCCTCTCCGACGCAGAACAAGACAATCACGTCCTCAGAGCTCGACATTGACCCGTCCCTCCCAGCCCCACAACGACGACAACTTCGTGACCTTCTCGCCGAGTTCAGTGAGTGCTTCTCCGCGTCGTCGAAGGTGCGCCAAACGACGGTTGCGAAACATCGGATAATTACTGATGACGACGCACTCCCTGTGCATCGGCCGCCGTACAGGGTCTCCGTGAAAGAAAGGGAAGCCACCCAGCAGCAGGTACAAGAAATGCTCGACGACGACATTGTCCAGCCCTCAAGCAGTCCGTGAGCTTCACCGGTAGTCCTGGTGAAAAAGAAAGACGGGACTCTTCGGTTCTGCTTGGACTATCGCCGACTGTACGCCGTAACAAAAATGAAAGCCGCTTACAACTCCCTGTAACGCCGAATTAGAGCGCAGCTCTTGAGGAGGAAAAGGGAAGGGCACTGGGGGGGGGGGGTTAAACTAACCAGGGGGGGTCACGTTACCTTGGGGGTCACGTGACCCCCAATGCCGATGATGTCATCACTGACGTCACTGATGACGTCATCAGTGACGATGACGATGCGGGTACCGATGACGTCATTAGTGACGTCACTGATGACTTCACCAGTGATGATGACGATGACGATGCGAATGTCGGTGACGTCATCAGTGACGTCGCTGATGACGTCATCAGTGATGATGACGATGACGATGCGGATGCCGGTGACGACATCAGTGACGTCACTGATGACATCATCAGTGATGATGACGATGACAATGCGGATGTCGGTGACGTCATCAGTGATGATGACGATGACGATGTGGATGCCGGTGACGTCATCAGTGATGATGACGATGACGATGTGGATGCCGGTGACGTCATCAGTGATGATGACGATGACGATGTGGATGCCGGTGACGTCATCAGTGATGATGACGATGACGATGCGGATGCCGGTGACGTCATCAGTGATGATGACGATGACGATGTGGATGCCGGTGACGTCATCAGTGATGATGACGATGACGATGTGGATGCCGGTGACGTCATCAGTGATGATGACGATGACGATGCGGATGCCGGTGACGTCATCAGTGATGACGATGACGATGTGGATGCCGGTGACGTCATCAGTGATGATGACGATGACGATGTGGATGCCGGTGACGTCATCAGTGATGATGACGATGACGATGTGGATGCCGGTGACGTCATCAGTGACGATGACGTCATCGGGGGGTCACGCGACATCGGCGGGGGTCACGTGACCTCGAGGAGGGGGCCACGTGACCTCAGGGGAGTCACGTGACTTCGGGGGGTCACGTGACCCCCCACGAGGTCACGTGACCTTGGTGGGGGGCTCGCGCGGTGCATTATGGGTAGGGTGTGTACTTTCCGGTGTTTATTTGCTAGAAAAATCGGCGGATGTTTTTCGGTGTTTATTTATTTTCAAAACGCCGGTGTATTTCGGTGGAACGTCTCACGACTAGGCTAAAATCGGTGATTATCGGTGGAAACAAATGTGATTGATCACAGACAGAGAGTCCCAATTTTATTCACATATTTCACACACTTCGTCTCTAGGAAGCATCTATTTCTCACACTTGGTTATTATAGTATATGCAAGCATACTTCGAGAGGCTTGCATCTGTCATGGCAGCACGTTCCTTGCGGTTCACAACCCGCAATTATGAAAACGAACGCTCTTGTACGACACGGACGTTGGCAGTGTCTTCCAGGAACCACAGCAACCTCTGAATACATGGCTTGCACCGACATCACTTGGCCAGACACAATGGGGAAAGGGCACGTGAGAACCTACCCTCCACTGCGTTAATTTTTCCAGAAAAGGGGGCCATGGGAGACGCAATAGGGGAAAGGCGTGTGAGAGCTTAGCTTCCACTGCGTTCGCTAGACGCTTTTGACCCCCAGAAAGGAGGGCGGACTGATGCCACGTGCAAGCCATGTATAAACACTGGACGAATGCAGGATCCACGAGATAACATGTTTGACGAACCTCTATGGGGAAAGGGTTTCGCTAGGTCGGTTGTTGTTGTTGTTGAATTATGTTTATTGATGAGATGAGTGGTTCGGCTGTCTTGGTGGGGTGGCCTGAGACAGAAAGGAGGGGCATGGGGTTTTAGGGGAAAAAGGAAATGAATGATGTGAAAAAAAAAAGAAAAAAAAAATTAAATGTGATGATGGGTCCCCGTCTCCCTGATGTAGCTCATCAGGGAATCGAGGACTGCTTTTCTGTGCTGCGGTGTTCCCTGGGGTCGGGACCACTCCTCGAGCGTCGCCGGTCTGTCCTCTTCCCGAAGAGATTGGATCGCTTTCTTCCTCAGCCGTTCCAGGCCTGCACAGTCCCAGAGGAGGTGGCGTAGTGTGGCGGTGTTCTTCCCAGCGCAGGCCTTGCATCTGGAACCCTCGATGTCGACGAGCCCGAAGCTCGCTTGTTTGGCCGGTGTCAATGCTGTTCCGGTCCTGATCCGTCGGACTCGGACAGCTTCCCATCTGGTATAGCTCGTTGGCATGTTGTCTTCTTGTGACGGCAGCAACCCTCTGAGGTAGGCCTTCCTCGCCTGCCTGGCAAGTTCAGCCTGTTCCTCCGGGTCTACCGTGTTATTCGTTTCAGAATGAGAGGTCGGGCCAGTCGCGGAGCCGTGAACTATTTCTTCCGCTGCGGCCCTGTGTGCCCTCTCATTCCCGGGGATTTCGCTGTGCCCGGGAAGCCATGTGATGTGCAGGTCGGTGCCACGTATGCGAAGCTCCGTCGCCACTTTCTTAATCTTTTTTATTGTTCGGCTCTTTGGTCTGCTGCTGCGTGTTGCGTTAATCGCTGCTTGCGAGTCTGTAAAAATTCTGGCGTGAGGTGCCGTCGCGCTCTTTCCTGCGATATCCTGGGCCGCCGCCAATATCGCCCTCAATTCGGCCTCCCTCACCGTCGTGCCCGACGGCAGTAATTCGGTTTGTGTCCTGCCTCTCCTTGCGTCGTGCCAGGCAGATGTCACTTTGTCACCGTTCTTTGCGGCGTCGGTGTACCGCACTTCTTCGTTTGGCGCATGTGTTTCGCACCATGCCGCGTGCATCTTAGCGGCTCTAGCCCTCTTCCCTTGGTTCAAAACTTGAGGCAGAGGCCGATGATCCGTTATCACCTCGTCCTGCCACGGAGGTAGCGCCTCTTCCAATGGCGGCTTGTTGCTTGTCTCGTATCCTAGGTCTTGCAGGAATCTACGTCCATGTTTAGTGCGCTCTAGCCTTTGAAACTGAGCGATTGCTTGGGTTTCGGCCCTGTCTTTTATGTTGTTCATTTGTGCTTCCTTTTCTAGCATTTCGAGTGGCGTGTATTTGGGAAGGCCCGTGACTACTCGCCTCGACTGGTTGTTAAGTCTCTCGAGTTTTTTCCATTGCGTCTGGTTGAGATTCAGCCAGTTGCAACTGTACAGTGCTCGTGACGTGAGAAGGGCCTCTGTGAGGATACGTAGAGCCTTTTCATCTGCTCCCCAGGACTTACTCGTTGTTTTCTTTATGAGCTTGAGACCCTGAGCCCACGTCTTTTCCATCTCCGGGATCCATCTCGTGCTTCTTGCCGTCTGCTCGAAGGTGACTCCTAGGATTCTGATATGTGGCTTTTTGCCGATTTCTTGTCCATTGAGTTCTAGCCGTACTGAGCCTGCTATTCCTTTCCTGTGGTCCCTAGGGCGAGCGACCATCATATATTGCGTTTTCTCTGATGACGCTTCCATCCCCACCTCTGCCAGGTAGGTGGCTACTTCATCTATGCCCCGCTGCATCGTGCTCTCTTGTTCCCCCAAGGATCCCCCTCGGGTCCAGAGCGTCACATCATCCGCATAGATGGTGAATCCCAGCCCTTCGATGACTCGAAGCCGAGCTGGGAGACCCGCCATTACCATATTGAAAAGGGTCGGCGATAGAACTGCCCCCTGTGGCACTCCTCTTTTAATCGGCGTTTCTGGGCCCATGGTCCCTCCGATCTTCACCTGGAACCTCCTGTCGCGCAGGAAGTCTCGTATAAAGTTCAGAGTTCTTCCACGGATGCCGCATGCTTTTGCCTCCCGGACGACTGCCCAGTGCGGCACTGAATCAAACGCCTTGCGTATGTCCAGGGCGACCACGAGCCGTGGGTCTTGTTTGTCTTTTTCAGCCAGCACCTCTTCATAGAGCAACCTGAGGCTATCTTGTGTCCCCATTGCTTCGCGAAAGCCCGTTTGCCGGGGATCCAGGCGTTCGTGTTTTTCCAAATACCACTGTATCCTTCTGAGCACGATTTTCTCCATCGTTTTGCAGATATTAGATGTTAGAGATACAGGTCTCATATTTTCAATGCGATCAAGCAGTTTGCCGGGCTTGGGTATTGGAGTGACCCAGGAGAGTTTCCAGGCTCTCGGTAGAATACCCTCTTCCCATACTGTGTTGTACTTGTCGAGAAGTTTCTGCTTCGATTCTTCCGGTAGGTTTCTGAGAGCTTGGTACGTCACCCCGTCCGGGCCAGGAGCACTACCGGTCCTCGCCGTGTAGATTGCGTCGATTAGTTCTCCCATATTTAGTGGGTCTTCCATTCCTTCCTCTTCTGGCGTGCGAATGTTCATTGCAACCGGTCTCTGGTTTGCGCTATCATCATCTTGGGGAAAGAACAATTCTCCAGCCCTGATCGCCATCTCTGACTCGCTGATATTAAGCTTGAGGGCCAGGTTCTGCGCAGCGTTTCTTGTCTTGCGCTTTGCTCCGTTCAGTCCCTTGTAAGTTCTCCAAGCTCTTCCCAGCCCGTTTCGTGCGTTGAAGGACCCGCAATGGGACCTCCACCTCTCGCGACCGAGCTGTTTGGAGTACTGCCTCGCTTTCGCTGCTGCTCGTTTGAGCTTGATTTTTAGATGCAGTGTCCTGTTCTTTCGGTACCGCTGCAGTGCTTGTAGACGGCTGGCCCAGAGGTTTAGTAGGTGATTGTCCGGTGTTGGGGCTCCAGGCTTTACTAGAACTTCCGTCTTCGCTTCGCTCAGAGCCGTCCGAATGCACTCCTCGATGTCTCGGCTGTCTTCTGTCTCAAGCAGTTCCCTAAAACGATCCCATTTGACTACTGGTCTTTGTTCTTTGCCTCTGTTGCGTTGTCCGTGATGGATTTTCATTTCTACCGGAAAGTGGTCACTGTCAAGGTTGTCTCTCCACGTTGACCAGTCGAGCACTAGGCTTGCAGTGGCCCAGGAGAGGTCCGGGGTGGAGTCCTTTTGCCTACTGTGCATTCCAATCCTTGTCTTAGTTCCCGGCTCGTTGCGAAGTGTAAGTCCCGCAGTTTTCATTGCGCGTTTAATTTGACGGCCTTTTCTCGTGCTGTTGGAGTACCCCCAATCTTTGTGTCGAGCGTTGAAGTCCCCGGCTATGACAATCGGATCCCCTTCGGCTAGACCAACAAGTTCGCCTATCCATGCCGTTGCTTCCTTGTCATCTTCCGTTGCCGTTCCTGGTCTTATATAGACGGAGGCTAAAGTCATCCTCTTCCGTTTGTGACTGAGTCTTACGGCTACCACTTCTCTGTTGCCAGTGCAAAGTGACGCCGTATCGAGCTGAGCATGTGGTATGTGCCGCAGGACTGCTACTGCTGCCCAGCCTTTCTTCGTCTCTGGGTTCCTTTCGCTCGGCCTTGGCGTAGTTACTATGGTCGGGTTTGTGTAGAAACTATAGCAGGGGAACGTTAGGTTCGGGGTTCGTGTTTCTTGAAGAAGGAGTACATCCGGCGGCGGCTGTCTCTCGAATCTCAACCTCAGCTCTGCACTTTTGGTCGAGAATGTGCAGCAATTCCATTGGACAATGCGGGTCTGTTCCGTGGTGGCCTGTCCTGTACTGCTATGGGAGTTACTTCCCATGTCGCAGCAACGCCAGCTCCTTCTTGATCTCTCCGATGGCCTCGAAGATCATCTTGAAGCCGATGTGTACGTCGTTCTTGAGTTTATTCATCTCTTTCTCGGCGTCGAAGTCTGATGCCTGCTGGCTTGGCTGTTGTCGTTGGGTAGATTTCGCCCATTCCGGTATCCATGTGGGAAGCTCATCTTGATCGTTTTTCCCCGATGCCTTATTGGGTCGCTCCGTGATGGACTTGGCAGCTGCAGCGTAACTCTCCTTATTTTGCGCCGGAGGTTTGGGTGTCATCTTCTTTTTGTCGGGAATTCTTCTTTTTGGACAGTCGTTACTGGTGGCCGGATGTGGGCCGTCGCAGTTACGACATTTTGGTTCTCGGTCGCACTCGTCCATTCCTTCGTCGTGCACGTTCCCGCACTGACCGCACCTTCGTTCCTTGCGAGGGCAGACATCCGCCTTATGCCCGAGCTCGTGGCAGCTAAAGCACACGATCGGGCGCGGGCGGTATTCTTTCACGCTCAAGATTGCTTGGCAGAAGACGACCTTCTTGGGCAGTGTGTTACCTTCGAAGGTAACTAACACCGCACTTGTGCCTTTACCCATAAGTCGGGCAGCAATAATCCTTGCCTTGTCGCATTTCATGTCTGCGAGCAGCGTCTCTGGTGTCTCTTCGCTGTTGTCTCCCGGGGGGTATATGACACCGCGGATCTGGTTCTTCTCCATTGCTCTGTAGGGGCAAACTGTATACTGCTTGCCGTTTTTCTCTATTGCCTTAAGCCGTAGCAGCTTTTCTGCCGTGCATTCTTCTTGCGTAGTGAGCGTAATAGTGTTGGTCTTTGTCTGATACTGGATTTTGAAATCCTCTTGGCTTTCGATTCCTGCCGTTTCCGCAGCCTGCCTGATGTCCCTGGCTCTGAATCCATTTACTGCCTCCTTACATACCGGCTTAAGGACAATGGCCCTGGTAGTTTTACTCTCTGGCCTCTCATCGATGGACACAGCAGCGGCTTTCTTCTCGGGTTCTTCGATTGACGTCAGCGAGCGTTTACGGCGGCGCCGGTTCTGGACTAGTGTCCAGGAGTTGTCCTCGATATTTTCCGCCAAAAGGGTGGCTTCTGTCCCGTTAGGTTTAGCATTCTGGCTCTTTAGCGGGGTCTTTGTCAATTGTGCTGCTTGAGCAATCGTGGGATATTCTTGTCCAAGGCATGAGCTCACCTTTTCTGCTGCGGTTGGTTGCGCGCCTTTTCCTTGTTGTGTGGTAGCGAGGTAGGTCAAGAAGCTTACGAAGAGCCTTCCGATATCTTCCTTCGCAACTCCAAATTCGTTCAATTTGTCGAGGGTGTTCAGGTCCAGTACAATTTGGAGGCCTTCCGTCGATGGGCCCGCCGTGGTCGCGGTTGTCCCTGTAGCAGCAGCCTGAGTTTCCGTGCCTCGCATTCCAGACGTTAGGTTTAGCGAGGTGTCCATAGTCTCGGGTTCTATATTCACCAAACTGGTCCCTCCCGGATCCAAAATCGACGGTCGGAGGGTGGCGGGGGGTTGCCCTTGATCCATGGGGCCCTTTTCAGGGGCGCGAGTGCCTTTTAAACTCGGAGTTATAAATATATGTCGGCGGAGCTAGAAAAATCACGTCCGTTAGAACGAGCGCTTCGTCGTCGTTTCTCGCTAGGTCGGAAACATGCAACGACCGGTGTTTTCCGGTTATAACCAAGGCGAAAATATTAAACCACCGGTGTTTTTCGGTTTTAACCGATTTTATATTTTTGTCACCGACGGATGTTTATCGGTGTTTTTCGGTTAAAACCGGAAAATACACACCTTAATTATGGGACATTTCCCATGATGCACCGCGCGGTTACGCCGACGCCGACGCCGACGCCGACGGCGACGCCGCTCAAGCCGGAAACGGGCCCCTAAGAGCTGCGCTCTAAAGAGGACGTCTACCCGCTGCCACGCATCGACGACACCCTGGACCGGCTGCGCCACGCCCGATACTTTTCGTCGATGGACTTGAAGAACAGATACTGGCAGATTGATGTCGACGAACGAGATCGTGAGAAGACAGCCTTCGTCACGCCGGATGGACTGTATGAGTTTAAAGTAATGCCGTTCGGGCTGTGCACAGCGCCGGCAACCTTCCAGCGCGTTATGGACACCGTCCTTGCCGGCTTGAAATTGCAAAGCTGTCTCGCCTACCTCGACGATGTTGTGGTGTTCGCAAGCGAATTCGACGAGCCCCTGAGACGACTGCGAGCCGTGTTACAGACCTTCAAGGCTGCTGGGCTGACCCTCAAGCCTTCCAAGTGTCGGTTCGCCTATGGTGAGCTGAAATTCATGGGCCACGTCGTGAGTGCTCAGGGTGTAAGCCCTGATCCCACAAAGACGTCTGCTGTCGCCGAGTTCCCGAAGCCATCAGACAAGAAGAATGTTCGAAGATTCCTTGGGTTGTGCGCCTATTACAGACGTTTCGTTCGTGACTTTGCGCAAATTTCTGCACCGCTGACGCATCTGACGAAAGACAACGTGCAGTTCCAGTGGGGAGAGGAGCAAGAGCAAGCGTTCGGCGAACTCAAGCGAAGGCTCCAGTCGCCCCCTATCCTCGGACATTTTGACCAGTCGGCGGAGACTGAAATCCACACGGATGCCAGCAATACCGGTCTCGGTGCGATACTCGTTCAGCGACAAGAAGGGGCAGAGAGTGTAATCGCTTACGCAAGCCGGGCGCTGTCTGAGGCAGAACAAAATTATTCAATGACCGACAAAGAATGTCTTGTTGTCGTCTGGACGATAACCAAGTTCCGCCCGTACTTGTATGGGATCGCGTTTCGCGTGGTCACAGACCACCACGCCCTCTGCTGGCTCGCCAACCTCAAGGATCCGTCCGGACGCCTCGCCCGCTGGAGCCTTCGACTGCAGGAATGCGACCTAACCATTGTGCATACGTCCGACCGCAAGCATAATGACGCTGACTGTTTGTCTAGGGCTCCAGTCGAACCTCCGATCTCCGGCGCCGACGATGATGACGACTCCCGTTTTCTAGGCGCAGTTAACGCTACCGACATGAGGGCACTGCAACGCGACAACGCGGAACTTAGCTCCGTGATCGACCACCTCGAAGGTCGAGGAGGCTCTGTCTCACGGGTCTTTTCTCGGGACCTACCGAGCTTTGTCCTGCGGGGAGGCGTGCTCTTCAGAAAGAATATCGGAACCAGAGAAAATCCCTGGCTACTGGTTGTCCCCGCCAGCCTCTGAGAAGAAATTTTTCAAGCGTGCCACGACGACTTAACGGCCGGACATCTCGGCTACAGCAGGGCCCTTGCCCGGATTCGTGACAAGCACTACTGGCCAAAGCTTCCGAAGACCGTCCATCTCTACACACGATCGTGCCATGAGTGCCAGCGACGCAAGA